TGGCAAAGCCCATCGAACAGAAAATAACTCTTTCATACACACCGATGCACAGCATCGGGAGCAATTGGGGTTCAGTATCTTGCTCAAGGATACTTCGACATGTGGCAGGAGGAGTGGATTAGTGGAGGACCCCCTCTTACTCTGAGCCACAGCCGCCCCTCTGTGAGAAAACTTTAAAAATATACACAGTAGACCTATATCACAGCATTAGGTTCACCTCTGTGAAGAAAATGTTCATATTATTATTTAAGATTTAAACTTATATATATAGATATATAGATGTATTCACAGAGCCTTCATTCTTTGATAAACAGCCTCATTCTGCATTAAAAAAGTTATAAAAATACATAATACAGACAGAGAATTGTATAAAACGTTCCTTAAACAGGAAATAATCTGTTCAAAATGTATGTAAATCACTCATATTACACAAACTTCCTGCAGTTACTGAGTTCACTCTTTGGGTTAATTGTACAATTTTTAATATAATGTGAAATATCCTCTTAGTCAGGGGTTGCCAGTTTACTAAATGATAGAAAATGGGTCCTTTAGGGGAAAATGTTGGGAACCACTGTATCACACAACTGAAGTGAGCTAAAGCAGCTGTGGCTGCAACAGCAGAGTTGCAAAAGCCTTTGCATTTATATGACTTTTCCAAATTGTGGGCTCAGTTGCAATATGTGTCTGGTTCTTGCAAAGTCTTGCAAAATCTTGCACAAACAGGAACAGTGACTAGAATTGAAAAGCACTAAATGCATGTGTTGCTTTGGATTAGGTTTTCATAAATCGTGATGATGTGTTTTAATATTGGACCTTATGCAATAAGACAAACATATATACAAACAAATGTTCTCTTTTCGGCCGTACATTAACAAACAAACACACTCCATTTTGCAAAACAACTATGAACTACAGTGAAAGAAATTAAATAGTAAAATAACGTGTTTATAATCTTTGTATCCATTTGAAATGTATTAAAAGTCATAATAAATAATTAAAATCACCACATACATTTTTGAATTTTGAAAATGTTTCAGTTCATGATCCATAGGTCGACTGTAACAATGGGCCTCATGCAGTAACCTCAGTTGCAATATGTGTCTGTTCTTGCAAAGTCCTGCACAAACAGGAACAGTGACCATAATTGAAAAGCGCTGATTGCTTTGGATTAGGTTTTTTGCAAAACAACTATGAACTACAGTGAAAGAAATGAAATACTTAAACATTATTATTGTTGTATTAATTCTTGTTGGTTCCATTTAAAATGTATTTAAAAGTGATAATAATAAAATAATTAATTGATAATAATAATCAATAGATAATAATAATATAATAATAATAATAATAATAATAGGAGGCATTTCATTGTTATGCACAGGAACAGTAAATATAAATATAATGCTAGAAGAGTCTAAAAAACCAATAACAAAACAGCTTGACACAACAAGACAAAACCATCAAGGTTAAGGTTACTTTATTTGTACCCAAAGGTAGATTTAGCATACTCCATAAATATATTAATATATTTATATGATATTGAAATATTGATAATATATATGACGAAGAAATTGACATTTAAGATTTACATACATCTATAAGAAGTAGAACAGCAGTGGAATAGTAGAAACTACGTATGTGTAAAATAAAACTCAAGTAAACATGATTTTTCAGAGTGGAAAATCAAGTACCCAGCTATGGCCCAGTAAATGCAATATCAACAGACAGACACAGTATCAGTAGTATTGAAGGTGTGGGGGAATTTAATTTAATCAGATTATTGCACAAATCTAAAAGCAACCACATTCACCATGCATACAAAAATGTTTTTTATAGTTTTACCAGGGATCAGTGGACCAATTGTATTTCTTTAGCCCACAAATGTAATAATCCCATCACTATAATTATTCTAAAACATATAACCTAATCTTCTTATAAGTAAGCATACAGTGACATTGTTTCCCGCTAACAATTTGTTGGTTGTGAAAACTAGTTCTAAAAGTGGTATCGACCACTTGTAAAATTTTCTCTTACTTAAAGAAGAGAAAAAAATTTAAATATTGGTGAATCCCAGAAATCAACAGTTACTAACAAAACAAGAACAAATCATGGATATGAACAAAAGTAAGGGAAAATTTGGCACAACAACATGAAACATTTTTGTTTGTACAAACCAGACTTCTGCATGCAGTGCACCACTCTGCTGCAACAACTTCTCTTCAAATGGCAAGAATGAGACCAAGACATTTCTAAACAGAAGTAATGTGACTCTTGTCCCTCCTGAAAAAAAAACAAAAAAACAAAACAACTTGGGCCCCACTTTGCCTTGTAACTTCCTATACATTTCTTAATGTCCATTTCTGGTTCTTCAAAAGCAACAGAAACTTTTCCAATAACACAACTCTCAGACTGCCAGACTGCTGTAAAGTTTGTATGCCAAGACATCCTATTAACCTGTGTGTGGAGAGATTATGGGCCATTAAGTGCACTGGACCACACCTTCAAAAGTTCAGTAACCAATTACAGACAAACGATAAATGATGCCCAAACAGACACAAGTCTTGGTCGAATTCATCTAAAGATGCTATGCGCCGTTTAAAACATGTGGGATCTAGTATCCAAAGAATGTCTGTGTGGATTTTGGTAGCATTTAAATGAAGACTTGTGGAGATAAGGATGTTAGTGGATTTTGCATATTCTGAAAAATATAGAGCAACTATGTTGCAGGGAGGCAAACTTTAAAGTTTTGGAACTGGTAATGCTAAACAACAACATGGTGGTGTTGTTATTTATTAAGCATGTTTATTATGTTGTTGTGGTATAGGTAGGTACAGTTTCAAAGTAACTTCCCCAGCACTGTTTTTCAGGTATTGTACTGGGGAAATACTGTCAGTTTTAACAGTTATATTTACACACAATAAGTGACTAAATTAAAATATCATCTGTCCAAAGTTTCCTATCGTACTGGATTAGCACTGGGAACATTTTGTCCTGATTTTTCTCAACAACATTCTTTCCCTGACACTTACATGTTGTTTTGGAGAGTTGACAGGGTCTGAGTTTGAAACATCTGTCACTCTGTCTGAGAGAACGGAAAAAAAAAGGCACTCCTGTGCTCTTATCAGCGTGGGACATTCAACACACTGTTGTCAATATAAACCCACCTACCCACAGCAGGAAACATTCACTGTGACAAGGCCAGGCACACAAATATGTAGAGACTGTGTGGTGGGGACTGTTCACACTAACCACATTTTATATCCATGATATATATATGCGTGTGTGTGTTATATATATGAGAATAACTTAACAAAAACTTTATATTATTTCAATAATTTCATCACAGCCATTGTCTTTGCCTTCTTGGACTTATACCAGAACCCAGCATTGGGTCTGAGTCCTCTACCTGGTGGCTTCAGTGTGATACCAGTTGATTCTCTGTCAATCGACGACTCTTAGACTCTTAAAATTCTTAGAATGGAAGGGTTGCTCTGGTTGCAACCTAACTGTTTCTATTTGGGGAAACAGCGTCACTGTATGCTTACTTATGTAGGCCTATGTGGCAAGTCACAGTTTCTGCTGCTGTGCCAGAACTGTTGAGCCATTACTGTACTCTGGGGTGGCTGTGGCTCAGAGGCAGAGTGGGTTGGCCCATAATCAGAAGGTTGTTGGTTCGGATCCCCGGCTCCTCCTGCCACATGTCGAAGTATCCTTGAGCAAGATACTAAAACACCAAATGCCTCCCGATGCTGTGCATTGGTTGGTGAATGTGTATGAATACGTTTCTGGTCGATGGACTTTGCCATTGAGTGAATGTGTGTGAAAGGGTGAAAGGGTGAATGTGGCATGTAGTGTGAAAGTGCTTTGAGTGGTTGGAATATTAGACAATCGCCAACAAGTACAGGTTCATTTACCATTTATACTTACTAAAAGACCTGTTGGTAAGTTTCAGTTGTTTGGGCTGAACTTTCTCCTGAATATTGTTGTTGTGCTTTGTTTTGAAATTCCATTTTAGTTTTTAGATTTTGCTGGCTTTTCTGTGGATTGTTGTTTCTGAAAAATGCCTGATGTCATGGCAGCTTTTCTAAAAATTTGTGACACACATTGCGATGTCTTTAGGCATTTTTTTCAATGAATTTGCAAGAGAAAAGAAAAACTTCAAAAAATAGTTGCAATAAAAAAATGTTCTACGGATAATTTATTTAAAATATAAGGCAACTCGTTTTAGTAAGAATATAATTGCTAATAGTTTGGTGAGATATGGCTCAACGTTTTAAGATGATGATTTGTGGTAATTGGACATCACAAATTCCTGGAGGGACTGATTTATTCAGATCATCTGGTTAGCATACCTAACTAACCAAGACAGCAGTACAAACATAAAGCAGTAGAGGTTGAGAGATGTGACACCAATTGCAAGGGCTGCAGTCTCAAATCAACACACAAGGTTATCTGTGGAGAACCTCCATTAGTGGGCTAAAATGGTAAAGAAATAGACTCTTGTTGATTGCTGCGAAGTTCCAGGATTAACAACTGCTCCTAAAAATGTAGTACATTTTGTTGGGACGTTCCAGAAATAAGAGGAAAGTTGTGTTTTTGCAACTCCAATTTAAACATCTTTTGACTCAAACATAGTTTAACCATGTGATGTAATCTACTACTTATACCTTAAGAACAAATATTACTGGGACCACGACAGAAAATTGCAGATAAACATTTAATACAGAGCCATATAGCTATATACTAGGTTTCCACCTACTCATGTTTTCCTGATGTTCAAACCATGTACTCAGGTAGACTTTATTGTGGAATATTACGATTATGTAAAATGATCACTGTCAGTCTCGATCAGCCAATCATAGATTATAGAATCAAAAGACCTGTTTGTTACCATCAAACAAGATATGACACCACACAACATTCATCTGGGTTTGTTCAGTGAACTACCAGATTCTCTAGAAATATCAACATTTGTATTCATGTTGACAGTGTTTGAAGAGAAGCATCACTCTTAACCAACACAACTCTACTTAAACACCACTCAGTCATGTATGGTGTACTCAAAGTGGCTCAAGAAGTTCATGAGAGAAAAAAAAATCTGTGCTTGACTCAAGTCAAAGTAACTTTATTGAATGATCATTGACTGTTGTGCTGATGACTTCAGATCTGCAGTTTCTGTTGTTCAGTGAGCACGAGGAGACAATCTTCCCTCTGATCTGTCTGTCAGCACATCCGAACAGGCTTCTCTGTAGTAGTGAACAGTTGTGAATTAGTGTTGAATGTGTTGAATACAAACAGTAGACAAGCAGTGTATATACTTATATATTGATAATTTGCTCATGTGGACACCTCAACAGACTTGTAAAGTGTGTTGAGCCTGGCCTTGTCATTATGACTCATCTCCTTAGCGTTGCCAAAGGACACGTTGGAGTTGGGGATGGGGACCATGGTGGGCTGGTTGTTCTTGGAGAAGGCATACCTACAACAGGACACAGAGCAGTTAGACTGAACCACAGCACATCCTGCACATACAACTCACACACTGGCACACAATTTTTCTCACTTGTGGTACTGCATGACGGAGTTGTAATCATAGGGAGTGCCCTGGTTGAGGGTGGCAATCTTCCTGAAGTTGTGCTCCATTCCTAAAAGAATCCCAACATAAATAAAATTAACATTTGTTTGGTTTTCATTCACTTTCACTGCTGGAGAATCAGTGTTGTCAGTCAAAGTTGTAAAGTCATCAAGATTCCAAACCTAAGAATGTATGTGCAGTGCCAACATTCAGTACAAAACCCTAACCTTAAAATTGAAATGCTCTAATATTCCATTCTGAATAATAAACAGCTCCATTACCAGACTGAACATTTTGCAGCTGGACTCTGATGTGGTTGTCTCTGTCAGAGCGTGTCTGTTCATGGTTGAATCCAAGAGCATGGAGCAGCTCATGCTGGACGGTTCCGTGGTAAAGGCATCCACTACGGGCCAGAGACACCACCTGCTTACCGCCACGACGGCCAACAAAGGAGTAGCAGCTGGACAAGATCAGATATGAGTTGAGTAACACGGAAGTCTGAAAAAAGCTTTCAAGTCAAACTGTTCATTGACATCGGTTTTCTTACCCATTCTGGGACTCGATGCTCAGCCAGTCGCGGTCACTGCTTTTGCTGGGCCTGAAGCGGATGCAGGAGAAGGAAGAAAATGACTCCAGACCACGGGTGATGATGGCCTTCTCACGGGAGGCTGGCAGGGAACATTTAACTTTTAACCATCTCACAAGAAAAACAGAGGACCACACCATCCTTAATATACAGGACAGGTTCTTGGTCTTTAGCATAGAGGACTTTCTGATGGCTCATGTAATGTGTTATACTGCTGCGAAAGAAATAAATTCCCAATGAGTGTAAGCACCTTCAAATGCAAATAGGATGAGTGACTCAACGGTATATCATATATTGGTTCGGTAATCATTAATGTGTTGGTTTCACCTTTTACTGACTGCTGTTGATCAATGTCACTTTCAGATCTTTTGCCAAAGTTTCTACAACAGGTTGCACCATGCTGTATAAAGACTGACTGATACTTACAGAAGTGACTGGCGATGTAATAAGGAATGTAGACCTTCCCATCAGTCGACTTGCCCCACATGCAGCCTCGGCTGGTGCAGGGATCGGCATTTCTCTCTGCCTCGCTGTCGATGGCGACGTCTCCGTCAATCAGAATGGGATCATTGTCGGAACGGACTGAAACATGCACACACACACACACACACACACAACACACACAGCAACTTAAAAACCTGTTAAAGTGCTACTAACAGAAGAAGAAACATCAAGAGTGGCCATGAGGAACATGGCGACTGCAGCAGCTCTCACTCACTCAGATTACTGTTGGCTCTCTCCAGAAGTTCAGAGACAGAAAGCTCAGCTGAGTCCTCCTCTGTTCAGTGACATCAACAACAACACAATTTCACTTTGTATAAAAATACACCAGTCACAATGCTGTGCATGTCTATACAATAGAATAGATTACATACCTGTCTGCAGGTTCAGAGTGGGATTATGGGAGAAAAACAAACATATTAGACACAGATAGAAGCACATGACAAAACATTATTGCAAACAAATGACCAAATTCTGTGTCTCAAGTGGCATGTTCACATTAAGGCTGTTAGAAGTACAAAGACATTATGAGATTACACTTTGAGAATCACAGAATCTAAAGATTTGCAGATAAAGTGCTCTAAATGGTCAAATATCTGTGAGAAATGGTAGCTATAGCGCTAAAACCTAGTAATCTGATCCTACCTCACTGTCGGCCCAACAGCAGGCAGACAGAAGCAGCAGAGCCAGAGCTGAGAACCTGAAAACAGACGTACGAGCCATCCCAGCAGACCTGCAGGACCCAGACAGGAATTAGCTTCCACTCAGAGGAAAGTCTTTGAAGCAAAGATAGAGATACTTTTCCATTTCAGATATTTGAACTCACCTTGGATCCTCTGTGTGGACTTGTGAAGCTGAGGTTTCACTGCAGGTTTTTATATATGCTTGACTGCATCTGTAAGCCCAAATATGGATTATCTGGGCACTAAGAAACCTGTAGAATAAGCTAAACTCACAGGCTTATCAGTCACATAATGTACGTGCAGACATACATATCCACATACGCAGACAAAAACACCTATGGGTGGGAAAAAGGACACTTGTTACACTTGTTTACTATCATATTGTACAGTACTGTCACTCCCATGTCTGAATTCTTCTTATTATTTTCTGTATTTCGATAGACTGTATTTATCACATTAATTGTTCAGTTGACTCATCTGTTTTTATAAATCAGAAATTAAATAATATTTGTGCACTTTGATAACAAGAGTGAACCTGTAGACAACCCACACACACATTAGGTTTGCCTGAGGTGTTTGTTGTTAAAATATTTTTGTCAAGAGCAATGCCATGTCTTACCCATTACGTTTAAATGTGATTAATTACCTACAAGGGCATCTATAGTCTGGTTCCAGATTATATCAAAGAGCTTTTGGCCCCTTACAGCCCAGCCAGGCCCCAAGTTGAGCTGTTCCACTGACCAGACTGAAAACCAAAGGTGATCATGCGTTTTTTTCTGCTCCACTGCAGCATTCAAGTTCCTTCTAAAGACTCATCTTCACAAGATGCACTACCCTTAACAATGTTTTACACGTTTTTCCATTATTTTATAGTGTTTTAGGTCATCAGATACTGCATTTTAATTGTCCTTGTTTTAGTAATATCAGTTTATTTTTTTGATTATAATTATATTTTTGCACTTTTATCTTGTTCTTACTTTTTGTATGTTTTTGGGGACACAAACAAATTTCTCATTTTAATTTGTTTGTTCCGTATACTTGTAATCTGGAAAGTACCTTGTGCTTAAACTTGAAAGGTGCTTTATAAATAAAATTGTTGTTGTTGTTATTATTATTATTATTATTATTATGCTACCAACTAAATAATCTACATGCAGAAAAGTAACATAACCTAACCTATTATAGAATTAACACACATTGACATAAGGTTGAATATATTGAATAGGATTATTGCCACATGTGAAAAAAAGTCGTAATCCTGAGTTAGTCAGTACAATAAAGAACTCAAACAAATCCTCTTCCATATGAATCAACTAATTTTTTCCACAAATGTAACGTTAAATTGTGTATATGTGTGTATATGTATATATAGTATAATATTTTACATTTTTGTTTGTTATCATGTCCACCCTATATCTTTTTTTTAGAATTAAAAAGTGACTCATTCCCCTCAGGTGTGTCTGTGTGTGTGTGTGTAGTTGGAGGTGGACACACTGTTGCTGAGTCCGGCATCGGAGCAAGGTCAGAAATAAAAGGCTTAATCCAACTACAGGTAACATTGCCCACATTTCGTTCACCTGTTGTTTTATCGAGCAACGTCACTGAACCCTGTTCATGTTGAAGGCCAAAACAGCGTGAAAAAATGTGAGAAATAAAGTATATATATATATATATATATATATATATATATATTATGTACACCCATACATGGCAAACAGAAACTTGAGGTAAAGATATGTTAATATACATTTTATTCATTATGAGTATTCAATCAAGCTCACAAGCAGTTATATATGTGTACATTTGTGATGATGTCACTTTTTAATTCTCATCAGGACAGCAGAAAAGGTAATTTAATCAAATTTGGGATTTCATTGAAGCACATTCATTAGCACAAGATGCATTTCTGGTTTGGGTTGGAGATTAAGAAGTTGCATCAGTCTGCCAAATCTCCTCCTGATTTCCTGTTCCTGGAAAAAGAGAGAATATGTTAAAAATGTTCAAATCAATATACGCGCACACAGACACACAGACACACACAGTTGTCATTCCACGCCTTACCCCATGGGCTTTTGCTTATAATCTTTATAATTATTATATAATCATAATTTTTTTTAAATCAGGGGTTCTCAAACCTTTTCATGTCGAGCCCCCCACAGTAGGTGCACATTTGTCCATGGAATCCCCTCTGAGTAATATTTGTATTTTTAGGTTTGAAGATTATGATGTTTTCATAGTCAATCAATGCTCAAACAATATAAATTACAATCAATCAAATTTATCCTTGTTGTTTCAGTTTCCCAAAAAATTTGTAAAAGTTCAAATATTCTATTCTTCCTATTGCTGGGCCCCCTACAACCCACTCAAGGACCCCTATTGAAATATATGTATGTAAATATATCTATGGCTGATGACACTATTTCTAATTGTACAGTCCATGTTATACACTAATGAAAACATATATTTGAATATTAAATTCTATTTTGTGCCATAGACCCCTTCAATGTCACAAACTTGAATTTTCGCTTATAAATGACTTATAATATATATCCTAGGTTGATTTCTGGCAATGAGGAAACATAGGTATAAATGAACATTCACATTTTCTTGTCTGTATCTGTTGCTACTTTATAAAGGAAACTATGAACTAATAAATAAAAGTTGCTAAAAAAGTAAAGACGTGGAAAATAAAGACATAATGTACAACTAGGTTCACATAAACATTATATGCAGTTTAGATCACATTCAGTGTGTACATATGTGTTAGAAAAACATCTCAAACCACTTACTTTAATTTCTAGAGGAAATGGTCCCTTTGCCCAGGTTCCAGGTCAGGTCTGGGAGCAGTGGTATCTGAAAGTAATCCAAATAGATGGTAAAACCTGTAAAAGCTGCTGGAGGTCTTTATGGCACTGCAACATTGTACATGAACATAGTCGGGGTTTGATCTTTCTAGGTCTGTGTTTACTAGTCTGTTCATTTTGTCAGTAAGAAGAAAGCATGAGAATGGACTGTTGGTAGGTGGGTAGGCTAGTGGGTAGCCAGGTATGTAGGCAGGAATACAGGTGAGAATGTAAGAAGCTCAGAAGAGATATATTGTATATATATCGTAGATAGATATGGGGGCAGCTGTTCCTCTGGAGGAAGTTGACTAGTCAGAAGAGGTTGTCAGTTCGATCCCTAGCTCCTGCCGAAGTGTCCTTGAGCAAGATACTGAACTCCAAATTGAAGACTAGAAAGGCGCTATACAAGTCAGTTTACCATTTATAGAAACAAGAAGGAAGTTATCTAGTTGGATACAAAAAATGTAGTAGGTTACATGGGTTCAAAGGTACGTACTGCAGCCATAAAGGCGGTTCACCCGAAGGATGTCAATAGGACTCATCTGGGTGGCCCTGCCAATGGCTACGTTCCCGTCGGGGATGGGAATGATGGTTGGCTCCCTGTTACTGGAGAAGGCGAACCTATGGCGCAAATACACAGCAGTGATGATAGGGCTAAACTGCAAACCTGAAACTATTTTCTAACTTGTGCAGATCATGTTCAACAAGAATCATTCCTGTAGAGGACTGAATGACCACTGAAAACTGACGTATTCACAGTTTCACTACAAGCTTAAAGCTGCAGGCAGTTGCACTAGCAGTGGCTAGCTGATGGAGCATTTAGCAGCTAAAAATACAGATGTTTCCCTCAGGAATTAGTTGAGACTGAAAACAGAGCTAAAAGGGGGTGAATGTTGAACATACGCAGAAATAAATACGTTTGTAGAAATAAATAGGGAAAACAAATGCAATTTAATCCATAAATAAAAACAAAAATACATGTAAAAAGGATTTTGGCTACTATTATTTTCAATATTTGTGTAATTGTTGGTGCATTTTATGTTTTTTTTTTTTTTTTAATCATTTATTTTAGATTTGGGCAGTTTTGGTCTGCCATTAAAAAATGGTGTAAAACCAAGGGAGTATCTTCCAAAGTTATGAGCTTTTCAGTACAAAATCCCCCCTTTATGTTTTTGCGGACTGTGCTTGCTGAGCTGCTGTGGATGGATGGTAACCAAAAGACATAACTTTAGAGTACAAAGACTGTAACTGGAAGATACCACTGCTTTTGTCTTGCTCCAATTGCTCAAACATCCTAGCTTCAGCTGAGCTTTAGAATACTTTTTTTTTTCAGAATGAAGACTGTGGATTTTGCCTCTTTCATTGGAACTGCATTAGTAAGGGATCTCTTTGTGGCCTGTATGGAGAGAAAGAATTACTGCAGTGTCCAGTAACTATTTCAATCTACATATGGGCATGTGATTTATAATTGAAAAAACCTGAAAAAATGTGAACCTGTCTTTTAAAAATGCTCAGTCGTGTTTTTTATATATATAATATAGAGAGACACTACCTTCCATAGTGCATGACGGAATTGTAGTCATAGGGAGTGCCAAGGTTCCTTGTTTGGATTTTCCTGAAATTGTGCTCCATTCCTGCAGGAAGTACAGCTCAATCAACCATTGTTTGTTTGATTACAGTTTGCCAGTCAAAATGGCTGAAAAGTGCAGTAAGTCAAATTGTGACCAGTTATCTGCAGGAATTCACACCCTGAGTTACCATACCTGCTAAAATAATGTGATAAAGTCAAGTTTCTATTTATTGATTTGTACTTTGTAGTTTCCACTTGTGTTCTTAAACGTGATAAAGGTTGGTTGTATTAATTGTAAAACCCCATTTTGTTGTTTATATATATATATTGACGTTCTATGTCAACGACATCTATATTCTACACGATGACATATTTTTTGGATTGTTGATCAAGATTGTGTGCAATGCAACACACCAGGAATGACGTTCTGCAGCAAGATGCGAACGTGCTCGTCCCTGTCGGACCGCGTCTGTTCATGGTTGAAGCCCAGGGCGTGGAGCAGCTCGTGTTGGATGATCTGAGGGAAAACACAGCCCTGGCGACTCAAAGACACCACTTGACCACTACCACGACGCCCCACAAAGGAGTAACACCTGAAAGAGAGCATTAAATAAAACCAGTGAAGGCTCTTGAGAATATCCCACATACCCTGAGCTCAGACACACAGTGTTTTTCGACAAGCTCCAGTAGAAGACCCCAGGTGTACATATGGTCTAGTGCACTGTGTGGTACATACCCTGAGCGAGACTGGATGTCCACAAAGTCCCTCTGACGACTCCTACTGGTGAAGCGGATGCAGGTGGACTCTGCAAATGACTGCAGACCTTGGATGATGGTATCTCTCTCTCTTTGGGCTTCAAGTAAAAGAAACCCAAACAATTATTATCAGTTTGGTGGATTTTGTTAGTGTCATCTTCTAATTCAGCCATCACATTAAAAGGCAACTTTTAGCTGCAAACCCATTACTACTACTGCTACTACTACT